TGGGGATGCCCCCGGGGGTCGCAGCACGCTGAGAGGGGCTGCAGGCGGAGATGGCAGACAGCAGGGCAAAGCCTGGGGTGCAGAAACTGTGCTGGCTTGTTCTGGGTGCTCCAGGGTGCGGGTGCGAGTGCACGGAAGTGCGTGAGGGTTCGTGTGTGGTTGCACGGGTGTGATAGCGCAGGTGTGACTGCGGGGATGTGAGTGTCTGGGGCGGTGCGTAAGAGGCAGAGAAAGGTTGTGGGTATAACTGTGTGGCTGTGATTGCGGGGGTGTGATTGCGTGACTGTGTGTTGGCGGCTGTGGCTGTGATTGTGTGCCACTGAGCTAGTGCGTGTGCGTGAGACTGTGATTGTGCAACTGCGTGTGCATGGGAACAGGCGCCTGCCTGGTCCTCTCTGCGAGACAAGCAACACAGTTTCCATTTTGTCTCTTTCTAGGGGATGTTTGTTCTGGGCCTGCCCTATGCCATCCTTCATGGTGGATACCTAGGACTATTTTTAATAATTTTTGCTGCGGTGGTTTGCTGCTACACTGGGAAAATCCTTATTGCCTGTCTTTATGAAGAGAATGAGGATGGGGAGATAGTCAGGGTGAGAGACTCCTATGTGGACATAGCAAACGCTTGCTGTGCGCCCCGCTTCCCCACGCTCGGAGGCAGAATCGTGAATGTGGCTCAGATCATTGAACTGGTCATGACCTGCATTCTCTATGTGGTGGTTAGTGGGAATCTGATGTATAACAGCTTCCCAAACTTGCCTGTCTCCCAGAAGTCGTGGTCCATCATTGCCACGGCAGTGCTCCTGCCTTGCGCGTTCTTGAAGAACCTCAAGGCAGTCTCGAAGTTCAGCTTGCTCTGCACATTAGCCCACTTTGTGATCAACATCTTGGTGATTGCCTACTGCCTCTCCAGGGCACGTGACTGGGCCTGGGACAAAGTCAAGTTTTACATTGACGTGAAGAAGTTTCCAATCTCCATTGGTATCATTGTCTTCAGCTACACCTCCCAGATCTTTTTGCCTTCCTTGGAGGGGAACATGCAGAACCCCAAGGAGTTTCATTGCATGATGAACTGGACTCACATAGCAGCTTGCATCCTTAAGGGACTCTTTGCCTTGGTCGCCTATCTGACCTGGGCCGATGAGACCAAGGAAGTCATTACAGACAACTTGCCATCTACCATTAGGGCAGTAGTCAACATTTTCTTGGTGGCCAAAGCCTTGCTTTCTTACCCCTTGCCCTTCTTTGCAGCTGTAGAAGTCTTGGAGAGGTCCCTTTTCCAAGATGGAAACAGGGCCTTCTTTCCTAACTGCTATGGGGGTGATGGGAGGCTCAAATCCTGGGGACTCACCCTCAGATGTGCCCTGGTAGTTTTCACCTTGCTGATGGCTATCTACGTCCCTCATTTTGCCCTCTTGATGGGTCTTACTGGGAGCCTCACAGGCGCAGGTCTCTGTTTCCTGCTCCCCAGTCTTTTCCACCTCAAACTCTTGTGGAGGAAGCTCTTGTGGCACCATGTCTTCTTTGACGTAGCCATTTTCGTTATAGGTGGTATCTGCAGCGTGTCTGGGTTCATCCATTCTTTAGAAGGCCTAATAGAGGCCTTTAGAACCAATGCTGAAGACTAAGGAGTGGCCAAAGTTGGTTGCATTAAAAGAGAATTGCATTGAACATCCGCATAGCCAAATAATTCTGCATCCTTTTAATGAAGAGTCATTATTTTAGTTATGTGCATCCAGCAAATTCTATGTCATAGAATCTAAAAATGAAATGAAATAAAAAGAAATAAAAGTGTTTGCCCTACAGTCTTTTTAAATAAGCTAAGAATTAAATATTTTTTTTTTGTTATTTAGGACTTTTCGAAGGAAAATATCTGATACCCCACCCCATCTCCTCACTAGTTGCCTGAAGCTTGGCTCCCAGCAAATAATCTATTGGGAAACAATTCGTTCTCAATACCCTTTACAGATATGCAATTCAGAGTTTCAGGAGCTGAAACACGGTTGCCAATCCAATGGATTTGGTTTACTGTGCTTACAATTAGAAGGAAGTTAATAGTATGTGCTGGGAGCAGGAACCTTGTGAGACAGATGTAGAAGAGACCTAGATTGTATGAACAGCCCGACAAGTCCAAGCAACAACTGATGACCAGTGATGCCAGTTAACTGTAATGTTTACACTGTAGTCACATAGTCCATAAAGACTGCTTAATTCTTCCATCTCAATTCATACTAAGGAATGGCGCTTCCCATCGATTACGATATTTTGCCTCCGGCTGAAATCACAGAATCTGGAGTCCACTTCTTGGTGATTTTTTGTTTGTTCGTTTGTTTTGTTTGAACATGTGTTACTTCTAAATTATGAAAAGAAAAAAGTTGTTGGATTTGACATTGTTCAGGATACAGAAACAAAACTAAGACACAACTCATTCTGTGCAATCTACCAGATCCGTGGAGCTGTTTCCAATGTATGTGTGGTGTAATTGTGGTAAATAAGATGAAAAATGTATATCAGAAAAAAAAGTCTATCTTTAACATATAATGTGGTACATAAATATATCAAACAATAAAGAGGAAACATAACCGACACGGCTGGCCTGGTTTGCTGGGGGCTCGCAGGTGCTGGTCAGGGCCAGGAGCGGAGGGAGGACAAGTGGCCCCCGTGCTTGCGGTGCTGGAGAGGGAGCAGGGGAGAAGGGCGAGCTGCCCGCGGCCCCCCGGGCAGGCGGCACGGCAGGGTCGCTCCCTCCCTCGGCCGCTTCCCACGGTCCCCGCGGGACACCCCTGGGGGGCAGAGCGCAGCATCCCCGCTTCGCTTTCAGCCCTTCGTGGAAGAGCTTCGCTTGCTTTTAAGCAACGGAAGGACAGACGGAGGTTTCTTTTCGCCACGTTTGTTGGCCCTGGGCAGATCGCCCGTTTCAGAGCGTGGTCCGGGCAGTGATAACGCCCGCTAACAAGGACAGCACCGCAGCCCGACGCTTGTGCCTCATTAACTGTCGAATTAAATCGCTTGCAACAGGTCGGAAATCTGCATTTCATGAACGGCTCGTCCTCCGCCCGGCGAGGGAGGCGGCCGCTGCCCCGGCCCGGCTGCACGGCGCTCGGAGACGCCGTTTG